GTGGCCGCAGTATATTGAGAGGAGTGTCTAGCCGACGGAATGGCAAGCTACCGAGTGACTGCGAAGACATTCTGCTTTCTTCCAGCCTGATACAGCTCCGGGAGTACTGACAGCTAGGGGACTGGTGTTCTAGATTCAGTTCTGGCACCAATTAGCTGTATGACTTAAGGCAGGTGGTTGCCTTTTCTGCTTCAGTTACGTCATCTGCAAACTGAGAATAAGAAAATCTGCCCCGCTACTGGGGAGAAGGATTACGGGGATCAGATTGATCTAAGGTACCTTTAAATCATTACACCATAGAGACCTCCTTAGGATGTTGAGCTTGGTGAGCGAGGCGAGAACATTCAGTGATCAGGTTGGTGGAGCAACCACGTGCAGGGGGATTTTCTGCCACATTTTGGAAACCTCGTCCAGTGAACAGACAGCTCTCAAGAAGCAGGGCTGGGGAGTGGGAGACGTTCTCTGGAGGTTCCACTGAGGCATGTCAGCCTAGCGCTGTTTGCCATTTCAGTTTCACCCAGGCTGGTGCTTTTCCTAAGTGCTTTAGAGCTGCCCAGCCACTTTGGTTACATCATCAACCTGGCATCTAATCTTAGTTGCATGGGATGTGTCTCTTGCTCACCAGTTTCCTAAATTGTGAGAAAATACAGATCTGTTGACGGGTTTGTCTGCCTGACCTTTTGGTTTTCTCGGTGCCTACTTCATCCCTGATTCCCTTGTGCCATCCTGACCCTCCCGCCTTGCCCCTCCACTCCCTCAACATCATCTCACAACAGATGCTTTCTCATTTCACTGGCTGTCACAAGCTCGGTTTTCTTAGCAGTAGTTTTCTGGTCCTTCCACTGTAATAGTGTTTACATCATGCTTGAGCTGCTTATGGCTCTGATGCTCACTGAACAAGTACAGTGACAGCTAAGGATGCAAATTCCAGTTCTGCTTCTTTACCCTCTGGGGGAGAGGCTGTCCACTTTCTCTAGGTAGTTTGGGGCAGGGAAATGCAGTTGCACGGTCTCCCAGTCTTGACGCCTTCCCTCTCATCTCCCAGGTTGTTACCAGAATGATCTTTCTAAATGGAAATATTATTTAATTGCTTAAAGCCTGATGACTCCCCTCTGCCCATCCAGGCTCGGCAGGCCACCCAGACACACATTGTCCAGTACCACGTTGGCCTCCACAAGGTCTAAGACGATTTAAATTAGTAAGAGCACTGAAGATCGAAAGAGGGGTTATAAAACCCCTGATTTGGGTTTCTCTTGGAAGACTGGTAGATGGCAATGCTGGGCACCAGGAACTTGGTGGCGCTGCCCTTCAGCCACAGCAGTGTTCTCCAGGTGACACAGCTGCCACTCTGGCCTTGCCATTCCCTTATGTTACCTAGGGAGGTTCTGGTGTTTGCTCCCCTACTACCGGATCGAATTCAACTTGCGTACTTGAGTTAAGATCAACTCTTACGAAGTATACTGGATCCATGCCAATTACCTTAAGCCCCAACTATATCTGCCCCCACCTCCTGCCCTATCCTCGGCTTCTCCAGAATGGCTCTGCTAGAAATGCTATGAAATGATTAGTTGTTTGCCTGTTTGAGTTTGCTTAACCATACATTTTATTTTTTTATTTTTTTAATTTATTTTTATTTATTTTTATTTTTTTTAAAGACAGGTTTTTAATTTTTTTTTTTAATGTTTTATTTCTTTCTAGGAGAGAGAGAGAGACAGCGTGAGCAGGGGAGGGTCAGAGAGAGAGGGAGTCACAGACTCTGAAACAGGCTCCAGGCTCTGAGCTGGCAGTCAGCACAGAGCCCGACGCGGGGCTCGAACCCACGAACCGCGAGATCATGACCTAAGCGAAAGTCGGACGCTTAACCGACTAAGCCACCCAGGCGCCCCTATTTTGTTATTTTTTTTTTTTAAATGAAGAGACCCATCTTGCAGATTCCTCTGGAGCATCCTTTATAGGCAAGGGGTGTGCCTGGCTTGGCCACACCACGATTGTGGAGTGTTTCAAGGAAGTTACATTTTGGATTTTCATGGCCTATTGATCCAAAGCTTCAGTGAAGGGCAAGAAGCAGAGGAAGGAACAGATGGGGCCCTTTCTGTGGTTTCCATCCTTTCCAAAACAAATCCATTGCATTAGGTTACTTGGTCATGTATTTGCAGACATTCTGCTCTCCGAAGCTGAGGACATAGCAGCAAAATGGCTTACCTTGGTTCGGATATCTGTCTTCAAACATTGCCCATTCTTTCCCAGAATTGCAGGAAAATTGATGTCAGTTAGCCTCATTACTTGAACTTCTAGACAATAAAATAAGTTCAAGCTATTGAGTAATTACTTCCTTTATCGCTGTTCACATGAAGTCCAGGAGCTTGCAGCTGAATGTTGTTCAGAAAACTGGGCATTTGCGTCTCTAGTTTCAAGAAATGTCTGTATTGGTTGGGCTTTATCTTACTGGGGGGCATTACTTGCTTCAGGTTCCATTCTGTGCTGGTTCCAAAACTTGATTTCCCCAGGAGGAGTAAGGCTTAAGAATTTATGTCATCCTAGTCAAACTCATAAGATCTATCTATAAACTACAATATTCCTTTTCTGTTTATTTACTGAACACCTACTGAGTGTATGGCCCTGTCCTAATCTCTGGAAAAACAAAAATAAATCACAAATATGATGCGGTCCCTGCCATTTAGAAGCTTATGGTCTAGAAGTTGGACAGATAGGTAAACAAATATATTATATATCATATGCTAATTGTAGGGTGACCTTATATACTGGGGACATCCTGGTTTGTGCTTGCTGTCTGGCATAACTATTAACAGTGTCCCCTTTCAAAACTATCTAAGGGCCACAGTAAAAGTTTCTATAAAAGGATGGGGTATAGAGATGGTAGAAACAGGAGAAATCAGCCTGCTTTCTTGGAGTAAACACTTGAGTTGGGTGATGAAGGAAGTTTGGGAAGTCAAGGTCTGGGAGCTCAAGGTGGGGGTAAGGGAGGGAATGTGCAGAACTCTACAGGAAAAAGGGAAATTGTTTTACGAGCAGCGGTTAGTCCAGGCTAGTCATTGTTCCCCATATTTATCCTGTGAGAAAAGTTCTGCAAGATACTTGGTAAAAATACAGATTTCCAGGCCCTGTTGGTGGTCGGGGTTAGTATTTTTAAAGAAGCACCCCAGATGATTCTGAAACATACTGAAAGTTCAGACCCAATTCTCTATGGATTATGGCTAGGAATCCAAAGCGCTGGGAGTAAAGAGGAGCAAGAGCAGTAAGACTATAGAGCACAAGTCACGTATCAGCCAGGTGGGATGACCCCACGTACGAAATCCCTGAGGTAGAACTAGTTGGAAGACATTTGCAGTAGAGCTATAAGACATGGACAGTGTGGGAAGTATGTCAGTGACAGTGGCGATCCAGAGGAATAAGGATTCGAGAACTACTGAGGAGAAAGAATGAACAGGATCTAGGTGCCAGTTACTAATTTACATGGGGGCTAGTAATATTCTTTCCAGGCAACAAAACACTGGTGTCATATCCAGGAATCTGGGAGACTTTATAACCTAAAGATTTATAAGGTGAGCCAATAAGCCTAAAAATATAAAGAACTGGATAATGTTGGGGTATATTTCATGTGGACCTAAAAAAAAAAAAAAATGACTCCTCCTTACTTCCTAACTGTTGTAGTCTCCAGAACAGTCATAACAATTGTGTTTATCTCTGGGAAGGAGCTGGTTGAATTCTAAAAGCCTCCTGACACCCTAACCCTTTAATCTAGACTTCAGGCAAATCTCTGCCTTTATGTTACGGTGAGACTAAGTTACGGTGAGATAACTACCCTGCCTTATCTTACATTATTTTTGCTTTGGTGTTTACTATCGAATGTGTAAGACAGTCATGACTCCTCAACATGACTCCCGTTTCAGGGGAGACTGTCTCTTGCGGTTTCATCATGACTTTGTTCCAAATTCTGAAGCTGCTGTCTCTGTGAGAGCCTGCAACCACCTCCCTACAGATCCATGGCAACTCTGGGAAATTACAATAGTACAGGAGATGCCTTATCCAGGCAAGGAGATCCTGAAACCTGGGGTTTGTGGTTTGTGGCCGACTGGCTTCCTCGGTGCATTGGTGATTCTCAGGCCAGCAGTCCCTAAACGGAAAATGAAGAAAATCCGTGGAAAGCTCTGCTATTTCCCTCTGCCTTCAAACATAAAGAGGGTTTTTATTTTCAAGGCTGCCTTCACCAGGCCTGTTGGCATACTTCTGAAGCGGTAAACGAAGTCAGAAATCAGAGACTTAGACGAAGTTATGAAGAGAAATCCTCAAAAAGGAGAAGGAGAAAGCCTCAAAAAGGAGAATGGGAAACCGATCAGGCTGTAATTTCACAGGGTAATTTAGCACCCTTTACCGGAGACCCGGCCCCAGAGCGTCCACGAGTGCGCCTTGGGGAGGGAGAAAGCATCTACAATTCCAGTCCTTGGCTCCTCTTGCGTGTAACGTTGCCGAGGAATTCCAAATCCTGGGAGTGATAGGGTCGGAGGTGAACGGGCTGAAATCTTCCACGCTGTAAATGTCAGGGAGGGGGGAAAAGAATAGGCAACTGCTGCCTCAAAGTTTTGTTTTTTTTTAATAAGGGGCTTCACTTCTATGCAATCTAATGTCACAACGCCATTAAGTCACAGTAGCAAGATGAAAACATAAGGGAAAGAGGAAAAGCCCAGTGTCCACGGACCCAGAAGATGGATCCTCCCAGCTCCCGCCGCTCACAGAGCTGTTGGGGACGCCTGGGTGCTCTGTCCGCCGGAGTCGCAGCGGGGCAGCCCCCTGCCCGCAGTCCGGGCGCGACCAGCGCGGCGCCGCGGCGGGGGGATCGGGCGGGCTCTCCGCGGACTTCAAAGCCTCGGCGCCGCGGCCGCCCCCGCCCGCGAGCGCGAATAGTACGGTCCAAGGGGGCGGCTCCTGGGGCGCGGCTCCCGCGGCAGCTGATGCGCGCCCCGCCGGCCGGGAGGCGGGAGCCCGAGACCCCGAGACCTCAAGACCCTAGCCGCCCGGCGCTGCGGGCCGGGCCCTGAGGAGGCCCCAGGAGAGGCATCTTCCCGGCGGGAGTCGCCCGGCGCGGGGGTGGCCGCGGCCGCACCGTTTGGGAAGGAGGACGAGGAGGAAGCGGCGCTGCCTGCCGGCCGAGAGGAAGCGCTCCACCCGGGCCCCCGACGGCGCTCGTTTAACCACATCCGCGCCTCCGCTGGAAACGCTTACAGGCGCCTGTCACCCGTTCCCTCCATTTTGAAAGGGAAAAAAGGCTCTCCCCCTTCCCCTACTCATAGGAGCTGGAGCCGGAGGAGCCGCGCTCATGGCGTTCAGCCCTTGGCAGATCCTGTCCCCAGTGCAGTGGGCGAAATGGACCTGGTCCGCGGTGCGCGGCGGGGGCGCCGGAGAGGACGCGGCCGAAGGGCCCGAGGGCGATCCCGAGGAGGAGGACTCGCAAGCCGAGACCAAATCCTTGAGTTTCAGGCAAGTACACGCATCCCTGCCGAGATGCAGACGTGCTGCCACCCATCCATCTGCGGCTCATTCTGTGTGCGTGTGTGTGGTCGCTCACCCGCGTAACCATTATCATGGCAATGCTGCGTCCCTGCCCGTAACCGGGTCCCCGCTGTGCCTTCCAAAGTTGAGGATGTTCTGTGCGGTATTCCCTTTCGCCCGTTTCCGTACGAGCTTTCAGAACCTAACCCGGAATCTGCAGTCTTCCCGCATCCCGGTCTGCTTCAGTCACTTTCTCTAAGCTGAGATCCGCTAGCACCCGCCCCTACACACAGGAGTGTCATTGATCACACCCGGTAGAACTTGGGGCCCTCCCTGTGGGGAAGAAGTCGCTCCCAGGCCCTCCTGGTGTCCCCCTGGGGCCCGAAAATGCAGCCTTGGTAAAGAAGGTCGCGTGATGACAGGCCCATGGCAGCTGGTGAGAAATGGTGGTCTTTGCTGAGCTGCCACCAAGTGATTGAGGAAGGCAGGTGACAGCATTCCCAGCCTCAGGCCGAGCGAGTTCCAAACAGGTAGAGGCCTGCCAAAGAAAAAGGCATCATGGCGAGCGCTGACTTAATTTTAGGGGGAGGGGGCAATCTTAATTTTTAAGCCTATGAGAAAGGATTCTTAGTAGAAAAGGAGTCTGTTGGAAAGCGCTTTTTGGGGGAATGTCAGAAGAAAGGATGACCTCAGAAATAAATGATGATGAGAAAAGCTCCGGAGGATGGAGGAGATATTCAGGGAGACAGGATGCCAGACAGAAGGCGGAGGAGGGCCCTGCGAGAAAACCCGCAGCAGCTCCCACAGGCCAGTCCCTGCCGAGGACTAGTGGGTTCTAAAGTTAGGCAAAAATGCTGGACTTTAGCCTTTTCGGATCTATAGGTTGTAAAGGGTGTCGGAAATACCGTTGAAAGTGGTAATTCCTCATTTTTCCCCCTTGGCAGCTCGGATTCTGAAGGTAATTTTGAGACCCCTGAAGCTGAAACACCAATCAGGTCACCTCTCAAGGAATCCTGTGATTCATCACTAGGATTGGCAGGACCGGGGGCCAAAACCCAAGGTAAAGAAAGATTTTCATTTTCTGCCTCTTTTGTTTTAAAGTTTTGAAAATATAAATGAGCGAAGGAAGAGTGTTAACTTAAGAGCCATTTAAAAAGCGTTGGATTGAGTATTTACTAAGAAAGAGTTGTTTTAAGGCTCCTGGCTTATTTGAAATATTTTTGTTTGTGTTTTAGGAATGTAGTTTTCTTCCCAAGTGGTTTGTACATTTGCAGTATGGGATTATCATTATCAAACATTCCTGCTGGGCCCTCCTCTCAGCCCCTAAAAATAAAAAACGTGTGTAGTAATGCAGAGGTGGAAGTACGTTTAGATTTGGCTTCAGCTATTTCTCAGCCTAAGTCACTTTCTTCAGGGGTTTGCCTGGAGACAAAAACTATAAGTAAGAGTGGACCTTTTTAGATAAGAAGGAAACTTAAGCTGTTTCAAAATTGTTTACCTCTTCTTCATCTACATAGGAATGGTGGTGAGCCTCTCAGTCTACCTAAGGAAACCTGGCACAGAGATGGTCTCCGAGCCCCTCAGAGCTCAACCTTGAGCCTTCCCTTCATCTACAAACGCTTCTGTTCCATTTAATTAGTAGAAACCTTTTTTGTCACACAGCCAGTTTTGAGTAAAATTTCACCTGTCCTGATAGAATCTGTTTATCCATTCAATAGAGCGTGCTGTGATTCAGCAGTGAAAAAGTCTTGCTCCCGCTAAGCTACTGCTATGGAGGGAAATGGATCTTTTAAAGGTTAAGCAAGATACATATGTCAGCTTGTTTTAAATATTACGGAAAAAAATAAAGCAGGGGAAGGAGGTATAGGGTGTATGGGGTGGGGATAAGAGATGCTGAAGGGTTATTAGGCGCAGCCTTGCCAATAAGGGAACTGGAGCAGAGCCCTGAAAAAAAGATTCAGGGAACAGCCTTGCAGATTCTTGGGGAGAGAACCCTTCCAGCAGGGGGAATGGCATCTGCAAAGGCCTGAAACAAGACCAGCCTGGGATGGGGTGAGGCCTCATGGTGGGAGGGTTTTGAGGACCAGTGAAGAGGCCAGTGTGGCTAGAGTGGAGTGACTTGGGAGGGAACAGTAGGAGCTGAAGTTAGCTAGATAAAGGGAAGTCTGGAACATTTTGTAATGATGCTCGGATTTTCTGAGTAAGATAGGAAGCCATTGGAGAGTGTGTTATTTTCCCAGGGCTGCTTTGACAAAGTACAAACTGACAAACTGGGCTGGTTAAAACAACAGAAATGTATTCTTTCATAGATTTGGAGGGTAGAAGTCGAAACTGAGGTGTCAGCAGAGCCACAGAGCCACGTACTATCCTAAGGTTCTAGGGAAAAATCCTTTCTTGTCTTCTCTAGTTTCTGGTGGTCGCTAATAATTCTCAGTGTTCCTTAGCTTGTGGCAGCATTACTCCAATCTCTGTCTCCTTCATTACAAGAAGACCATCTTCTTATGTGTCTTTTGCCTTCACATGACATTCTTTTAAGGACACCGGTCATTAGGTATAGGGACCCTCCTAATCCAGTATGACCACATCTTAACTTGATTACATCTGCAAAGGTACTATTTCCAAATAATGTCACATTCACGAGTATGGAGAATTAGAGCTTCAACATATTTTTTTGAGGGACACTATTTAATCCACAACAGAGCTTTGAACAGAGAGATCATGTTTTGATATACTTTTAAAAAGACATGGGGTGCCTGGGTAGCTCAGTTGCTTAATCATCCAACCCTTGATTTCAGCTCAGGTCATGATCTTAAGGTTTGTGAGACTGAGCCCCGTGTCGGGTTCTGCGCTGAAAGCTTGGAGCCTGCTTCGGTTTCTCTCTCGCTGTCTCTGCCCTCCCCACTCCTTGTGCTCTCTATCTCAAAATAAATAAACATTAAAAAAAAAAAAACGGTTACCTCGCTGCTGTCTGGAGAAGGAGACTGTAGCATGGATGTCGTTTTTTGCATGCTTTCTCTTTCCCAGTGTCTGCCAGGGTCATCCTTCAATAGAGCCAGCTTTCAGTTATCCTATTAACTAGTTTTTGACTTGATTATGACTTTTTTCTCCTAACAGTTGTTATGTTTTATTGCTTCGTAACTTCCTCAGAGGTTGCTTAGGGAAGTCAGGTTCTCTGTGATAGACTTCATGATGGAGCTGGAATTATTGGTTCACCAATCATAGTAATTTTTGTGGTTTGATTTTGCTTTGACTTGGGAGTTCTCTAATGCACTTCCCCTGCTCAGAATTCAGCCATACTTTCAATAGACCCTGGGTAGTCGTCCTTTTTTTTTTTTTTTTTTTTTTTTTCCTTTCACCCTGGGCTGCTTTTCACCATTGTTTTAGGCAGAGACCGCATGGGAACAGGCAGGTTCATATGTTGGAGAGCTGCGTGTGGCACTTAGGTTTGCAGCTCGCAAGATGCACTTGTTTTTCACAGCTTCCTTTTTCCTCTCTCAAGATTGTCATATCAGAAGGGAGATTTGAAAGCCAGAAAGAACTGTTTTGAAGTTTTCCCATCAAACTTAAGTAATGCTCACGAGACACATTAAGCAGCTATTTGAACGTCTTTTTGAATGGCCCTTTTGAATGGCCCTCAGCTTGGGCAGCCCCTTTCCTTACCATTCTGTCAGTTTCTAGTCTGATTCATCTTGACATATTCTTTGCTAATTGCATAGAGGCTCCTGTGGCTCAGGCCCCCAGAGCCATAGAGACCCAATTGTTTGGTCCTTCCTGTGCCACTCTTTTTTACAAGTTTTGGTAACTTCTAGCTCACACTCTTTCTCTCTCCTTCTGAAAGATTTCTTTTTGGAGAGTCATGGACCAGGAAAGCTGTGTGGAGTAGATCATGATTGGAAACCATGTATTTGGCGGGAGAATGGGGGTAAGGTGTACAATCTAGGAAACTACCACTACATATTAAGAAGTCTTTATATTTGGGGTTTTTTTTTGTTTTTAAATGTTTATTTATTTTAGAGAGAGAAAGGGCAGGTGGGGGAGGGGCAGAGAGAGGAAGACAGAGGATCTAAAGCAGACTCTATGCTGATAGCAGAGAACCTGATGCCAGGCTTGAACTCACAAACTGTCAGATGATGACCTGAGCCACCCAGGCGCTCATGGAGTCTTTAAATAATAGGATGATTGCATATCAGCCTGGTAGTAGTCTGCCTTTGAGAGCTCCTTCTGCCCAACATATAGAGTTAGCCCAGAGTCTTGTTGATGACCTTGTTATACATACAGAGTAAATCTAAAAATACAGCCAAACACGGGTCTGACCAGGGAAGAGTTTAGTGGACCAAAATTCCTAGAGATGCATTTCTTGTTGAAGTCTTAATTTCTGGACTTGGGTGATCCTTTTTCTCCCAAAATTGTTGATTTTTTGGCTCCTGATAAAGTTAGTCTTTCATATATCTGTGGTTCCAAGACATAGTGGGATAGCAGGTAGAAATTATGTAAGACTATATCATCTTGGGGGGTGATTTATGAATTAGTCAGGGGTTAGAGTTAACATAATAAAAGATCCTGGCTTCCTGGTGTATTATGGCTCCCCCAGTGTATGGGCTGTATCCCAACCCAACCTCCATCTAATTCTTTGAATGCAGGGAAACATCTATACCTCTTTGAAGGTAATTTTCTTTTTATTGGAAGTTTTTGGGGACTTACAGTATCTGAACTCTGTAATAACACTCCTTAAGACAGAATTGTATGCCATTCTAGGAATGAAACAATGGATGAGGTTATGGGTATTTTTTTTTAAGCCACAGACAAGCTGGCTTTGGACTGGCAAAATAAAACTTGAGCCAAAGAGGTTCCTTCAAAATACCAGAGTGGTGCCTATAATATTGGGGCTGGTAGTTCTGTTTGCTCTCTGTCTGCCTCCCCCAACAAAGAGTGTTTAAGCTGCTGCAGTTACTGTTCTTTCTCTTAGCTGGGGGTTGTGTCAGTCGGGAGACATCACCTACAGAGGACTTCTTGAAAGAGGTACAGTCTCAAGTTCATCCCCCCTCCCTTTTTGGGTGCTTATGGACTATGGTTTTGTCCATTGTTTTAGACTATAAAACCTGCAGTGAGTGGATGTCTAGTGCTACTAGAAGCCTCCCTGCCACATACACCTTCATTTATAGATTGTTACCTTTCTTTGAGAAAGAAAGTCTTAATTCATGCTGAAGCTGTCACATATGCCCTTGGAACAACTAGTTAAATCTACCCTGTTTGATATGTTAATTAGGTGCCTTTTCAAAGACAAACTGTAATCCTCCAGAATAGAAGGAAAGAGATAAATAGGATCAATCCACAGATGTTTACTGCTAGAGGCCTGGGGGGGAATGCAGAGTTCTGTGTTGACACAGTTTTGATAGTCCCTAGTCTCAGTCAGGAATCAGCAGACTGTGCCTCATAAGACCAAATGTGGCCCTGCCTCTTGCTCTGGCCGATTATTGTTTTGTCTGGGAGCTAAGAATTGTTTTTATATTTTTAAGTGCTTGAAAAAAATTGTGATGTGTAAAAATTATACGAAGTTCAAATTTTAGGGCCCATAAATAAAGTTTTGTGGGAATGCAGTCATACTTATTGACTTACGTGTTGTCTGTGGCTGCTCTCACACTAAAACAGCAAGGTTGATTACTTGGAACAGGGACTGAATGGCTGGCAAAAGCCTAAAATGTTTACTGTTTGGCTCTTGACAGAAAAGTTTGCTGACCTGGATCCACACTTAGGACAATTTTGATAAAAATATAAAGCTTAAGTAATTTGGCATAACCTTAAAGAAAGTGGCAAGGCTATATACATGGTTAATTAACAGTGAATTGTGGCACCTGGTGCCTTTAGTGCAGGCCTGTATGGTTAGGGGAGACTCTAGGGAAAGGCTGATTTGGGCTGGCTGTTTGTCTCCCTTACAAAACACAGCTGTCTTGGTCTGTCAGTGTTCTTGATTTTTAATTGACTGTGAGATCCAAGGAGTTATGAGACTGGAAATTAGGGAAGAATGAAGAGAACTTTAGAAACTTTTTGACATTCGCCCAT